CCATTTTACGTAAGCCACTGTGAAGATGAGTGGCGATTTTATCACGAGTAAAATCGCATACCTATCACAAAATGCAAATTGAATTTCATACCCGAAAATCGAACTAGTTTTTAATTGTACGCTACAGGCCGTTTCAATTAACGTTTCATTCTACCCACGCGTCCATTTAAAAGGATTTCACGGTGCGCGCGTTTATAGGCGGCACAGATTAATGTCGGCAATTTTACGAGCTCACCTTTATGAATCGCCGGCCCGTAAAAATTTAGGCGTACGGATAAATTCGCTGCATTGCGCTGTTTCGCTATTCAGCTTTATCGAATCTTTATCACTGCTTTATCTCTGAAACATCGAACCAAGTATCTCAAAATTACAAGCACATTTCAATTAAAAAGAGATAACTAAAATTGTCCCTCAGTTTCTCTAATACAAACTTCTCGATACAAAATTTCTCTCGTCTCTCTAACGCAAACAGTCGCTCTATTCGCGTGTACAAACGTCACAGAAGACACTTTGCATCCTCTCAGCTAATATTCACGTGAAAAACTCGCGAAACGAGAAGAGGACGCTTCTGGTTTTTCCGCTGAAAATCGAAGCCTCGACGGGAGCCCGTTCGTTCCATGGGGAAACTCAATTAACAGGGTATCGCAATTAAACCGTCGACGCGGGGAAAAAGTTGAAGAAGCTCCTCCGGGCCTACCTTGAAAATCGAGGGAAAGGAGCATCGGCTGATTGGCACTCGCCCCAATAAATTCATTAGCAACGCGCCGTGCAGACTCACCTTCCGCCGTTTAAATTCGCCAAGATAATCCGCGCTCTCCCCCGCGACAGATTTCGATTTAAACTTCTCCGAGACAATTTTCTCCGACAATTTTCCAGTAACGGCCAGCCAGCTGCGCATTGCCGCCTCAGACAATTTTCCCTCGAATGATTTTACCTCCTCTTCGAATAATATCGCTCGTTTTGCTTTGTTTCTGATCTCAGGGAACTGTGAAATGTTAGCGGTGAAACTGAAAACAAATGTCACGCCAGACAGTGAACGTGTTAATAAGTAAATGTTGTTCAAATAATGTGTTTGATGTCAGTTTCATCAGAAAAATCTCATCAAGATGTTAAGAAAAATTTCGGGATAAAGAGTTGATATTTAAATCGCTTGGTTGCCTCGACTCACGTTTCATCCTTATCTTTTATTCGCTGTCTTTGTCCACGTTCGGCAAACTACAAAGGCGGGCGCGATGCTCGAAAACGTAGTCCCTGACTCTACAAGTGTCAGGTTTAGGTCCCTTGCGGACTGACACTTGTGGAGAATTTACTGTACTTCATTTTGTAACGAACGTCTGACAAAATTTTGCAACGCTGAAACAGAAACTTACTTCTTCGTATTAAAATTAATATTTGACAATGTCTCGTGCGTAAATTTGGATCCTACAAGTGCAATAAATTAACTAAATAATATTGCATTTCAATTTATTTTATTTTATTACGTACTTTAAGTTAATTACACAAATTTTAAATTTAAACTAAACTTATTTACCATTCCTCTGACAAATGTTGAAAAAGAACTTCAGAAAATTAAAAGCGTGTGAAATTATGGCGTACAGTGCTTGCAATACATACGAAATTTGATAAAAATGAAAACACAGATTGTGCATGTAAATCAATATCTCGTAAGTGAAGAGAAGAATTGATGACAATATGACACGATTAAAATCAGCGATTTAACCGACGTTCAATTTCTATCAAAAACACATTTATTCCGAGATTTAAAGTGGTCTCTGCAATTCGATTTTCTTCACTTGCACAATTTTTTCAAATGGAACTGATCAAAGTACAGTTTCAGTTTTCAGCGAAAAGAAGTCGCTTCTATTACCCAACCACCGCACACTCGCTAAACTCAGCTTTGTGCAACTAACTTTCTGTTTTCGAAACTGAAGAGTTCGTTAAAGCTACGCATTTTTCAAACGATGTTGAAAACAAAGAAAAATTCAAAGGCCGATCCGAAAGTAATTTCTCAAAGTGCCTGCAAAGAGTGTTTTCAAAAATGTGTTTTAAAAAGCGTTAGCAACCATGTGTAGCTGTTACACGTTAATTATTTTAACCCTCATCCGTCCCTCGTGTCAATTTGGCACACTTTTCCGGTAAAAAATCGTATTATTCGGCTATTTGTAGAAAAACTGTTTCCTTTATTTTCTACATTTAATAAAAGAATTGACAAAATGTGTCAAAAGTGTCAAATTGACACCGAGGGACCTGTTAAGATGCGAAACCGAGGGACGGATGATGGTTAAAGAATTATTTTAGATAAATATTTGAAAGAATTGTTTTAGATAACTATTTCAAAGAATTATTTCAAGTTAATTATTTTCGAATTTCCACAGAGACGAATGCAAATTTCGACTAATTTTCTATCGACGAAATTATACGAAGCTACAGTTGGAGTATATTTCTCGATCAAAGGGACTCGTTGAGAGGCTTTGGAGTATATATCGATAACTTTTTCATAATTCAACGATAATTAATCTGTGTTTAATCCCCTTTGCGCAGGTGGTGACGCCACAGAAATGCGGCGACGTGTACCTTTACGATCTTCCAGCGAGCCGGGGAAGTCCTGCGCCACCCTCCAGGCACGATTCACCCTTGAACTCGAATAACGAGCATTTACACAACTCAGGTGCGTAGCAACCCCTCGTTTCGCTCTCCTCTGATTCGTTTGCAACCCTGAAACTTCAATAGTTCCACGAGGGAGTCGCTGAAAACTACGTGAAAACACGTTTCTAAAGGAAAAAACATATTTACCTACTTGGAAAACTCTACTGCTTATTCCATAGTGTTTTTTCTTTCTATTTTTTTTTCGGCAAGTTGTTTCATCTCGAAGTGAGAGGAAATAGTTATATGAAAATGAGCGACTGAACTTTTAGTCGTGATTTATAATTTTACGCTATTTACAGCTGTAGTTGATTATAAAGGTAGATGAGTACAATTTAATTTTGTGTAACTTATGGTAGAAGTATGCGCCAAATTTCAGGGGCTAAAATTATTTGTTATATGTGAAATTTTTAATTGCAAAATTAAATAAGTGACAGAAGTATGCGCCAAATTTCAGGGGCTAAAATTATTTGTTATATGTGAAATTTTTAATTGCAAAATTAAATAAGTGACAGAAGTATGCGCCAAATTTCAGGGGCTAAAATTATTTGTTATATGTGAAATTTTTAATTGCAAAATTAAATAAGTGACAGAAGTATGCGCCAAATTTCAGGGGCTAAAATTATTTGTTATATGTGAAATTTTTAATTGCAAAATTAAATAAGTGACAGAAGTATGCGCCAAATTTCAGGGGCTAAAATTATTTGTTATATGTGAAATTTTTAATTGCAAAATTAAATAAGTGACAGAAGTATGCGCCAAATTTCAGGGGCTAAAATTATTTGTTATATGTGAAATTTTTAATTGCAAAATTAAATAAGTGACAGAAGTATGCGCCAAATTTCAGGGGCTAAAATTATTTGTTATATGTGAAATTTTTAATTGCAAAATTAAATAAGTGACAGAAGTATGCGCCAAATTTCAGGGGCTAAAATTATTTGTTATATGTGAAATTTTTAATTGCAAAATTAAATAAGTGACAGAAGTATGCGCCAAATTTCAGGGGCTAAAATTATTTGTTATATGTGAAATTTTTAATTGCAAAATTAAATAAGTGACAGAAGTATGCGCCAAATTTCAGGGGCTAAAATTATTTGTTATATGTGAAATTTTTAATTGCAAAATTAAATAAGTGACAGAAGTATGCGCTAAATTTCAGGGGCTAAAATTATTTGTTATATGTGAAATTTTTAATTGCAAAATTAAATAAGTGACAGAAGTATGCGCCAAATTTCAGGGGCTAAAATTATTTGTTATACGTGAAATTTTTAATTGCAAAATTAGATAAGTACAGTTCAATTTCATAGAACTTGTGACAGAAGGATACGCTAAATTTCACAGGCTAAAATTATTTGTTACATATAAAATCAGAAATTCTACGTTTCTACACAATATTACTTTTATCTGTACAATGGTATTTTCCATCTTCTTCGTATCCGTAAAATTACATTTTATCAATGTAATTATTCTAATTAAACCAAGGCGAATTTTAACGTTATTCACCCAAAGCTCTTCACTCCTCAATTAATACCGTTCAACGAATAAATATCCAAGCGAATGCTAATTGATTTTATTATCAAGCAACAATTAAAATTTCAGCAATATGTGCAATATCGATTATTTTGTTCGTATTACAAATTTCCATAAGGCGCGTGCTTTCACCTGTTCCTTGGATTTTATACAGAATTTCATTTACGTCTGCATGTTTTATTAATTGCACCGGATGTTGTTTCGACACGCGTGTGCAAGGGGAAATAATCAATGAATTGAACGTGAGCAGAATAATTATTCTCCTTCCCTATGTGTCGTCTTTTATTTATTATCATTTCTACAAATTTCTTCTCGTACGAAATTCTCCAACGAGGAAAAATCATTTCGTTCAATTAATAACGATCTCGAAGCACCAAACATTTTTAAAACTATCAATAGAACGTCACATCTGCTTGAAAGAAAAAATATACAACAAACGTCGTTTGACTTGTGTCGAAAGGAAATCGGCGAATGGAAAAGTTTCAAACTCCGGTTGTTGTTACTCCACGATAGAGAGCGTTCAGTTTTTAATCGGTTTAATCTGCTATTATGCTTTTGTTCATTGGTATTCGATTGAAAACAAGATACCTCGATAGAAAGCATTTATTGAGAATCGATAAAACGTCGATGTTCCTCTCGGAATTCTTTCATTAAACGGCGATATTGCAAACACAATTTCCATTTCCATTGAAAAACCAACCGGCTACCTGACTCGTGAATATACATGCAGTCTTACAATATTTGCAATAAAAACTTCTCCCCAGCGCGGCGATGTTGTTGGAAGATCAATAATACGGGAACACTTGGAAGAGTTTTAGATCATAAATGCATCACATGTAACGTTCTGCTACTCTGTTATGAAGTAAATCGAATAGACTTTTCCTTTGAAAGGGTTAAAAGGAAGTTGCAGGAGGAAAAATCCGATCTGGCTTTACATTTTTGTTTCTTCGAAGGGAAGAGAAGATGGAAAGCAGTGCAATGTGGCAATTAGAAAGAGAGAAAACATTAGATAAGATTGATAGCAATAAAAAAGAAATTGAGTTAAGTTGGTAAAGTAAGGCAAAAAGGGAATGAGTGGCTTTGAAAAATATATTACGTATTTTTGAGTGAATTTAAAAAATATATATATTTTCTTTTCATTTCTCTAGGAAAAAGAAGGAAATAAGAAATTCTAGATATTTGCAATTCTTCAATTTTTCCTTTGTCGATCATTATTAATTTTGCATTTTAATTTCTGTGTCATTTTCTCAACACAAAATCCACTTCCCCTGCAGTGTCTTCGAAAATTTTTTATTTCCGACAACAATAGTCGTTCCATTTATCAATTGATTAGTTTCATCGATCAATTCTGCAATCAACTTCTTTCCACGAACGCAAATACTTCGCGCAATACTAACCATCCGAGCACTTAATTTTACATTTATCGGAATATATCAACAGCCTGTAAACACTACAACCGTAACAAGATTAGTAGGAATCTGAAACGATTCAGGTTGAATTCCCCCATTTTATCGATATTCTCGTAAACAATCTTATCGATCGAGACAAACACGAATTACTTTTAAAATAGCTTTTCGAATTACCTACCGCGATACCGACGAGATCGATCGGTAAAATCAATATTGCTCGAAGAAAACCAAGCTGTGTCGCGTCGTAATTCCGTTTGAAAATAGAGGAAATTTGCTACTGTCACCGGAGAAAATCGTACAGCCATTGATCTCCATTTGTTACGGACGATCAAAAAGGAGGAGATCCTATCGTGCTTCGTTTCTTATTTCGTGCGTGTATACCGAGATAGATATATACGCGCTATTTATCCTGGATGATCGAAGAAATAAAATAGCCCGGTAGTTTCGTTTCGCGAAACGACGTATATCCGGGACATTCCTCCTATCGAGGGGGCATTAACGTAGGAAATTACAAAGCTACCTTTGCGGAACCCCGAGCAACCTTCAAAGTGAAAGATTGCTGATCCCGTCTCGCTGTTCTCCTATCGACCGACTAACCTCGTTCGCTCCAAGTCGATTCGCTTGAAAAAAAAAACTTACCGACCGAGGAGAACAATGGTATCTCGATCGATACTTGGATACATTGTAAATAAATTATCTATTTCTAATAGGCGATAAATTAAACGAGGGAATAAATATTGCGTTTGAGAACTAACAATTACCGTTATCGCGTATCGCTCGATCGCCGGTTGTCCAGCTTCAGTTTGCACGATTTCAAGGTGTTTTTCTTAATGGATTTATGAAGTATCAAATTATGGTAATTTTTCGAATGGATAGTTTACGGAAATAATATTGGAACTAGTTTAATGAAGTTTTACCTGATGTAGCGCATACCTGCACGTGTGAACACGTAATATGTGTAGTATACAGAGTGGGCTGTGTGAAACCGGCTATCTAAATTAGCTTATCTAGTTATGATTGTACGAGAAAATTTTCTAATGAAAGAAATGGAAAGAAATTAAAGGAAGATTCACATTTGATTTAAAATTTTAGAGTTCGTGGTCATTTTAGGGTTAAATTTTTCTGAAATTTTTATTGGAAAAATGTGTGTTTACTCATAACTAGACTCTGAATTTTTGTGCAAATTTATATTTTCGAGAATATAGTAAAAATAGTAGAACTTCGGTAAAAAATTATTTCGCCTACCAAACACTATTAAAAGCACTACAATTTGGATATTTTTTCATATTACGTGTATTCTGTGCAATTTTGTACCTTTAAATTTCCTGTAAATGCATAAAAATCCGCAGTCTACTAAGCGATAATCCGTGAGTGCAACA